GGCAGATCTTTCGGCGACTCGGAGCCCTCTTGGGCCGCCTTGGGGGCCTCTCGGGCCCTCTCGGCCCGTCTTGGGGCCCTCTTGGGCCCGAACAGGCCACGCGCCGCCACCTCCTGGAGCCCCCGGGAGCACGCGGGGAGCCCCAGGAGGCGCGCGCGCCAGGCCCCGCCCGATTTCGGATTGGGGGCTCCGGGCCCTTTATGGTGCTCTGCAGGAGTGCGGATTGTCAGAGCGTGAAAAACCTACCCCGCTTTCGCTTCCAGGCAAAACCAAGTCATACCACGCGCCTCCTCGTCAAGCGGCCTGACCAGTACAGGCTGCAATTTGGCATCGTTTGGTATCTCTTGGAAGCGAGGGTGGTCAAAAGCGAGGTAGGTTTGTTTTCCCCCTAGATTGAGGCGTCGAGGATCATGCAAAGGACCTGAGGGCACGCCCACTCCGCGCCCAGAGGCACGGTGGCGGATTCGATCGGCGCTGGATCCTTCTGGAGGCGCCTCCGGTGCCGCCCCTGGAGCACTCCGCGACAGGGAGGAGTGCCCAGTGCCGATCCAAGAAATCCGTCCAGACCTCGGAAAATGTGTGTGTGTTATGTCGAGCTGCTCATTATTATTACTGTTATTGTTATTGTGGTTATAATTATTATTATTATTATGGCTGTTATTATAATTATGAGTATACGTAGTGTTATTAGTAGTAATAATATTTTTATTAGTATTATTATTATCATTATCGTTCGTATCATCATTAGTATTATTATCATTATCATCATTATTATTATTAGTAGTAGTATTGTTACTAGTAGTATTATTCGTAGTATTCTTATGAGTAGTGGGATTATTAGTATTAGTGGTATGATTCGTTTGTTCGTAGCAGTAGTATTGTTATTCTTACTCGTATAGTTTTATTAGCATGATGAATCGCACGTGTAGTACTTACCATTGCAATAGTATTAGTCGTACCACTATGCCTCTTCGTATTCTGCTTATTTAAATGAACATGTTTTATTGGTAGGATGGCTTTTGTATCTTAAAAGTTGTAGTACTTGTGTTTCTACGTATAGGTATAATAATTCTTCTGCTAGAAAAGAAGAGCGGGGATGGTGCAGGGGAGAGGAGAATGGAGGAAGAGGGGAAGGATGGACGGGGAGGCAACAGAAACACACATGCGATCTGGGACGGATTCAAATTGAGCCGAGCATTGTGACCACGCGTGAACTCTTATGTCTTGAGGAGGAGGAGAAAGAGGAGGAGGAGCATGAGGAGGAGCAGGAGGAGGAGGGGGAGGAGGAGGAGCGAGGAGCGAGGAGGAGGAGGAGGAGGAGCGAGGAGCGAGGAGCGAGGAGCGAGAAGCAGCAGCAGCACGAGCAGCAGCAGCAGCAGCAGGAGCAGCAGGAGCAGCAGGAGCAGCAGGAGCAGCTGGAGGAGCAGGAGCTGCAGGAGCAGCAGGAGGAGGAGGAGGAGCAGGAGGAGGAGGAGGAGGAGGGGGGGAAGGCCCCTCCTCACTCCCTCCTCCCTCTGCTCATACTTCCTCCCTTCTCCTTTGCCCCTCGCCGCTAGGAGTTCCAGAACAGCCTGAGGAGCACCAAGCTGACGAACTACCTGGACTACCTGGGCATCGACATGGATCAGACGAAACACCTCTTCTACCTGCTCAGCGAGGCCGCCAGCGACCAGACGGTGGAGATCGAGAAGTTCGTACAGGGCATCGTCCGCATGAAGGCGCGTTCCCTCCCTCTCTCCCCCCAGGTGCTAGAGGGAGAATCGGAACAGTCGGCCGTGCCCCGAATGTTCTTGTTGCCTTCTTCACCTGAACGGTGACCCCTGGACCCTCTCATCCTCTTCTCCCTCCTCCCCCCCAGGACTCAGGACTGCGGACATGTGATCCTTGGTGGGAGCTGCCCTCGAGCCCTCCTGCCGGCCGGCGGGATGGCAGAAGAAGACCAAGAGTCTTCCTCCTCCTCCTCCTCCATCGCCATGTCCCAAATCATCTGCGGCGCGGGTGTGAGTTGGAGCTTTTTTCTGGGGTCACCAAACGAGTGAACGGTGTGCCGAGATGGGAGTCGGAACTGCATGCGGACGCTACCGCTGGGGCCTTTGGAGCTCTTGCTGGGGACACGAATCGTGTGAGGGGGTACCGAAGTGGTTGACATGCGGAGGGCAGAGGCAAGGGTGGGAGGAGGGGGAGGAGGAGAGGAGAGGAGACGCGGGGCCCTCTCTTATGAAAACGATGTCCCAACACCACAGGATGGTTGCGGAAACTCACATATCTGTGATGTCAGCGTTCCCGCAATAATTTGCCTGGCGAAGGACCCAACCATATGCAGTTGTGATGAACGCAGTTGTGAGTATCGTCTTCGGTTGGGCTCCCAATGGATCTACGAAGCGTGTGATGGGTGCGCCGAATTGGGGAGTGGAACTGCAGGCGGACGCTGACGCTGGGGCTGGTGCTTCCTGCGTA